AGTTGGACTTCAATTTCAACCAAATTTAAAACATTCTCCTCAGAGTAATTCAGACTAAGCAACTTGACAAGGGTTAGAAAGTCAGGGGTGCTTACCATCTTCAGTGCATATTACAAAATGGGGAAGAAAAACATAAAGACAAGAATATTGCTTGATTTTTTTTGGTTAAATATGAGGAATTGAGTCATTAACTGAACTTTTTACTTTTAAACTTTAAGGATATATTTATTGCCAGAGAATTGATCAACGTGACTATTCCAACAATACGCAGAAGACAACCAAAGATGAGCTGTTGAATTTACTAAAAACTATTGATGAGGATTCAAAACTTTCTGCCAAAGAGAAGAAAAAATTGCTAGGTCAATTCTATAAGTGTCACCCAGACATCTTTATTGAGCATTTTGGAGACTGAGTTTTTAATGTCTGTATATAAGTTGTGTATTTTAAGAATAAATTATGTATCCTAAATATCCAATCACATTTGTAAGCTTGGAAGCTCTAAATATGAAACTGTACTTAATAAAAATTTTTTTGTACAACTTTGTGTGTCAGAAGCTGAGTATTAATCATATGGTGTATCGCTGTTAAGTACTTAAGTGAGTTGATTTATAATTACTGTGCTCAATGCTTTATAGAACATAATATTTAGATGTTATGACATTGCAGTGTTTGTATAAGAAAGCATTAAACAGTAAAGAAAACGATAATTACATGTTAATAGGAATGAGGTTTGTGTTTTGAAAGGTACTCCCTAAAGATGCAAGATAGAAACTTAGGCTATGATAAAAAGAATTTGCTAATTACCTTAAGTTGTAGACAAATCAGAAATCAGACTGTCCTAATGCTTCCAAAAACACAATTTTTAAAGCTTATTGTGGAAAATTTCAAACATATAAAAGTGGAGAAAATAGAGTAACGAACTCTTGCTTGTACCCATTAACTAACAGTGACAACTGCCAACTCATGGACAGTCTTGTTTAATCCATACCCTGACTCATTCCTCACTCACCCCAGCAAATTTCAGATATCATATTTCAGCTATAAAATGTTGGTGTGCATGACAAAAAGGACATTAAAAAAACAACCATGATACCATTGTCATTCACATAAACCTACAACTCCTTAATATCAGGTTTGCAGTTAGTGTTGAAATCTTATGATGATCTCAAATGATTTTGACAGTTTATTCAAATGGAGATTCAAATGTCCATAAATTGCACCTGGTTGATGTGTGTAAGTTTCTCTTTAAAAATCTGTAAGTTCTGGGCCGGGCGCAGTGGCTCAAGCCTGTAATCCCAGCACGTTGGGAGTCCAAGGCGGGCGGGCCACGAGGTCAGGAGATCGAGACCATCCTGGCTAACATGGTGAAACCCCGTCTCTACTAAAAAAAAAAAAACAACACACACACACAACACAAAAATTAGCTGGGTATGGTGCAGCACCTTGTAGTCCTAGCTACTTGGACGGCTGAGGCAGAGAATGTTGTGAACCTGGGAAGCGGAGCCTATGGAGGCTGAATGCACCACTGGCACTCCCATTCCTGGGCTATGAATGAGAGTGAGACCCCGCTTCAAAAAAAAAAAAATCTTTGGCCACTCGCCGTGGCTCACGCCTGTAATCCTAGCACTTTGGGAGGCTGAGATGGACGGATCACGAGGTCAAGAAGATCGAGTCTATCCTCGCCACATGGTGAAAGCCCTTGTCCTCTTCCTAAAAATAAAGAAATTAGGTGGCGCGTGGGGGCAATGCACCTTTGGTCCGCGTTACTCAGGATGGCCTGATGGCAGTGGAATCCCTTGACCCAGGAAGAACAGAGGTGCGGTACCGGTTGCAACCACTGCAACCTCCCAGTCCTGTGGGACAGAGCAAGATCTGTGTCTCAAAAAAAAAAAAAGTTAAGTTCTCCTTTCTCCTTCCACCCTTCTCATCTCTTTGTCTTTTTGTCTGTCCGTGTGTCTGTCTCTATTGTTAAATAAACTTGGTCAGTTGTTCTTGCGTTTTCTTCAGTCTGAATTTTTCTGATGACAAGTCTGGGCTGTCCTTTATCACGTTCCTTTGTATCCTATAGCTCTCGTAAACTGGGCATTAGAGCTAAAGTTTTTAATACCTTTTTAACTAAGTTAATGATTATGTGGCATGAGTGCACTGTGAAGATATACAGGTGACCTTTCAACACCAGAAATTTGAACCGTGCAGGTCCACTTATACTAGGATTTTTTTTTTTTTTTTTTTTTAGGCATAGTCTCGCTGTGTGGCCCAGGCTGGAGTGCAGTGGCGCGATCTCGGCTCACTGCAAGCTCCGCCTCCCAAGTTCACGCCATTCTCCTGCCTCAGCCTCCTGGGTAGCTGGGACCACAGGCACCCGTCACCACGCCCGGCTAATTTTTTGTATTTTTAGTAGAGATGGGATTTAAATTTAAATTGAGGAGCATCAATTAAGAAAGTACAGAGACCACCCTGTAGCATAAAGAGTGGAATGGACTACAGCAAGCAGAGATGTGACAAAAGGGATCCCGTGTGTCCAGGAGCAGTAGCCGACCTCTAGAGTGGCTGCCACCTTTCTCCCTCCAAGTCCTATGTCCTTGCAGTGAACTCCCTTTACCTTAAGGTAATTTGAATTTCCAGTCCTTGCAGCCAAAGATCAAAATGGAATGTGTCTATATATATTTTTTGAATATTGAAACAGTACATAACATTACAAGATTACAAGTGAAATATCCCAAATTAAATCAGTGATTTTGGTACTGTTGCAGTATCCTCTCCAGGTGAAACTTGAGTGTATTCATTCACTTGCTCCTAACCAAGTGAAAATTGGTCATATTAATTTTTTTTTTTTGAGATGTAGTCTCACTCTGTTACCCAGGCTGGAGTGCAGGGGTGCAATCTCTGCTCACTGCAACCTCCACCTCCCGGGTTCAAGTGATTCTCCTGCCTCAGCCTCCCCAGGAGCTGGGATTACAAGTGCCTGCCACCATGCCCAGCTAATTTTTGTATTTTTAGTACAGACGGGGTTTTGCCATGTTGGCCAGGCTGGTCTTGAACCCCTGACCTCAGGTGATCTGCCCGCCTCGACTTCCCTAAGTGTCAGGATTACAGGCGTGAGCCATTAAGCCCGGCCATATTAATCTTTTTTTTTTTTTTTTTTTTTGAGACGGAGTCTGGCTCTGTTGCCCAGGCTGGAGTGCAGTGGCCGGATCTCAGCTCACTGCAAGCCTCCGCCTCCCGGGTTCACGCCATTCTCCTGCCTCAGCCTCCCGAGTAACTGGGAGTACAGGCGCCTGCCACCTCGCCCGGCTAATTTTTTTTGTATTTTAGTAGAGACGGGGTTTCACCGTGTTAGCCAGGATGGTCTCGATCTCCTGAACTCGTGATCCGCCCGTCTCGGCCTCCCAAAGTGCTGGGATTACAGGCTTGAGCCACCGCGCCCGGCCAAGCCCGGCCATATTAATCTTTTAAGGAAGGTAAGGGAGGTGGTTCTAGCCTGCTTTCCCAGAGAAGCTTTTAAAACTTGTCTGGCATCACGCCCCAGAGTTTTGGATAATAGTTTTCCAATCCCTGCCCCTGAGATTGCAAGTTGTACTCACGGCTGAAAAACATTGGAGACTTTATGGTATGAGTCTAGACTCAGAAGAACTGCATGTTTTCTTTGCAGGTCTTAACAGTTCCATTTAGTTGAGTATCTTAAGGGTTTTTGGTGTTTTTTCCTCCAAAAAAGGGAATCTTCACCTGAGAACTGTTTTTGTCTTTTTCTTTTTTAAAGCAAAAAGACTTTAATATGCAAGTCAGTAAATGGTTTGAGGGTCTGGTATTGCACTCGGCCTTCAATACGTTAGCAATAACTACCCACATGTGATCTATTTAGCAGTGTTTGAAAACAGCAATTTCACTCCAACTGCTTTGTTGCTTTTTTTTTTTTTTTGAGACGGAGTCTCGGTCTGTCTCCAGGATGGAGTGCAGTGGCGCTATCTCAGCTCACTGTATCCTCCGCCTCCTGGATTCAAGCGATTCTCCTGCCTCAGCCTCCCGAATAGCTGGGACTACAAGAGCGCGACACCACGCCCAGCTAATTTTCGTATTTTTGGTAGAGACAGGGTTTCACCATGTTGGCGAGGATGGTCTCGATTTCTTGACCTCATGATCCGCCCGCTTCGGCCTCTCAAAGTGCTGGGATTACAGGCGTGAGATGCTGCGCCCGGCCCAACTTTTTAAAAAACAGCCAAAATGAGAGAAGGGGAATAAACTTCGTGTAGCTACAAAGAGGATGGCATAATTAAATTTCAAAGAACGGACGGGGAAGGTTTCCGATGCAGTTGCTTCTTATTTCTACTTTTGACTGACCCGCGCCTTCTCCGCCTCCCTTTCTCCTCCCGTCACCCACCCCAGCGACTGGGACGTGGCCGCGCCCTCCGCCTTTCCGTATGGAAACATGGCGCCTCCCTGCGTGGGGCGGGCCACTCTTGGATCGGAGCCACTGCCCGCTGAGACTCATCGGGGGGCACTCGGCCGCTCCTCTTACGTTTCCGTACGGAAAAATGGCGCCTCGCTGCGTTGAGCGGGCCACTCTTGGCTCGGAGCCACTGCCCACGGAGCACCCTCAGCGGTCATCGGCCACGCTTTCCACCGCTCCCTGAGGAAACATGGCGCCGCCCAGCTGCGAGTCACCGCTTACTGAACCCCTTCGGCAAGCAGGGGAAAGAACCGCCTGCCTTTCCGTACGAAGACATGGCGCTGCCCTATATTGGCGCCTCCCGGCCAAGAGCAGTCTCCTCCTTCCTGATGCTGAGAAGCGGCCGCTCTGACCGCTGCCCACCCGAGTCGGGCTGGGAGAACCGCCCGCCGCGTGGCGAGGGATGCGGCCTCGGAGGAGCAGAGGCTGAACCGCCCCAGCCTGCCGCGCATCCCTCCGGCTTCCGCCGCGGCGCCAGCCCGCGCCTGATTCGCGCGGCGGGAGCGGCAGGAGGAAGAACGCCGACTCCGCGGCAGGTGAGGAAAGCGGGAGCTGGGGCGGAGGCTGGCGGGGCCCGCCTGGGAGGCGCGCGGTCCAAGTCGCAGGCATCTCTTCGTCTCTTCCCGTCGGATCCCGTCCCGGGATGTCGGGGGCAGGCGAGGAAGAGGCGGGGTCCGCGGGCGGGTGGGGCTCACCCCTCAAGGCCGCCCTCTCGGCGCGCCCGCGTCCTCCCTGCTCCCGGCCCTGCCACTCCCTCGCTGGCCCGAACAGCTGTTTACAACGGAATCCGGACGCCGGGCGCGAGTGGAGCTCAGTGCCAGAGGAGGTGATTCCCGGCGCCGGGGACAGAGCCCCTTTCTTTTGCTGAAAGACCCTTTCTGCTGGGGAGCCTCTTGTGTCCAGCCTAGGCCCGCGTGCAGCCCCGACGGATGACCGTCTTCTTGGCAAGTGCGAGGATCCTCCTCCCCTCGGCTCTCTTTTTAGACACAGTGGGGGTTGAATGGATGCGCGCTATATAAGCAAATTAAATGGTTCCTGGCCACATCCTAGAGCCCTTTAATTAGAGTTACCATTTGTAGAAGGCCTGCCGTGTGCCAGCCTCTGCCGTGCATGATCCCTCGTTTCATCTCCCCCCCAAACCAAGCAGGTAGGTAGCTGTATTTTACAGAGGAGGAAACTGAAGTTACTCAGCTAGTAAAGAGCCAGAATTGGGGCCCAGGTGTGTGTGAAACCAACGCCCACCCCTCCCACATACAATGACATCACAGAGATGACGTAGGGATTCATCTCTATCAACAGATACTTGTGGGTGTCTATTTGGGGGATATACGGATGGAGCATAAGTGGGAAATATGACTTTTCCTGGCTCGTAAGAAGTTCGAAATCTAGGTGGAGAATTTTAAAATAAAAACTAGCACTTTTACCATCTGGCCCCAACGCATCTTTCCATTATCACTAGCCACTTCCCTTTCTGATTTTCTTGTGCCTTGGCTTCTGTCCTCTGAGTGAAATGCCCTTCTTTTCACCTCATCTCCCCCTCCAGACATGTTTTAACTAGGTGAAATCCTACTCCTTTTAAAGATCAGTGTAAATGTCATCTTTTCTGGGAAGGTTTTCTCAATCTCCTTCCAGGCGGAGTTAGTTTCTTCCTCTGCTATATTCCCTGGGCAATTTCATAATGCCACTAAGGCTTAAGTTTCATTATGGCTCCTTGTAAGCCTGTCTGCCTCCCCCTCTAGACTATGTATTTGCATCTTTCTATTTAAATAAGCACACTTTGAATTGAATTTAAGGCAGTGACAAATGCTAAATGTCGACTAGCCAGCCCTGCAGGAGTTGAGAAAGGTGCAATCACTGGTGAGGTCCGGGAAGTGTCCTGGGAAGAGATAGGACCTGGACTCAATCATAAAAGGATGGAGTTAGTTTACCAAGCTGATTAGAGACCTAGAAATCCTGCCTTTCCTCCTCACCGCACAGAATGAATTACTTCATCCCTCCTGGGCTCCTTCTCAGCATGTGAAGAGGATAAAATTAGAAGCGTTTTGTTTGTCCTTTCTCATAGAATATGCTGGTAATGTTATGCTTTGGATATTGGAGCATTTCCTGACCCTAATAGGATTCAGGATACAGAGGAGATGGGTATCTCCAGTGGGGTGTTGGAAGCTAAAATGAGACTAGAAAGGGGAAATACATGAAAACAACCTTCATATTAATACAGGTCTGGGTCAGGCACAGTGGCTCACGCCTATAATCCCAGCATTTTGGGAGGCTGAGGCAGGCGGATCACTAGAGGTTAGGAGTTAGACACGAGCCTGGCCAACATAGTGAAACCCCATCTCTACTAAAAATACAAAAATTAGCAAGGCGTGTGGCGGGTTCCTGTAATCCCAGCTACTGGGGAGGCTGAGGCAGAAGAATCCCTTGAACCCAGGAGGCAGAGGTTACAGTGAGCTGAGTCGAGCCACTGCACTTCAATCTGGGCAACAGTGCAAGAGTCTGTCTCAAAAAAAAAAAAAAAAAAAAGCAGGCCTGAATATTTCAATTCCAGTAACTTCATTCTGTTTAATGGAGTTCTCTGAAATTTCACATAATTCTATCAGGTGATTCTTCACCTCTCTAATATGCAGAACACAGTCTGCCAAACTCCCTAAATCAGTTGACATTTCTTTTGATCACTTGATTGTGTTCCCTGTGTGTAAGAAAGTCTAATTGACTTTCTTAGTGCTTATGAAAATGTTTTGTGATCTTCAAGTGCTGATGTTACAAATGTTGATTATTTTCAGCAAATGCAGAAACATTGTGTCTTTATTCTCTCTCAGAAACACCCTAGGAAAAGGGAGAGGGGAGGAATTGACTAAAACTTTCACTGTAATTAAAACAGATTAAAACAGGCCTTTTTTTTTTTTTTTTTTTGACGGAGTCTTGCTCTGTCGCCCAGGCTGGAGTGCAAAACAAAACAAAACAAAAAATTAGCTGGGTGTGGTGACACACACCAGTAATCTCAGCTACTTGGGAGGCTGAGGCAGGAGAATTGTTTAAACCTAACAGGCGGAGGTTGCAGTGAGCCGAGAATGCTCAGTTGCACTCCAGCCTGGGCAACGAGAGCAAAACTCCATCTCAAAAATAAATAAATAAATAAATAAAATAAAATAAAATTCTAGTTTCTATCATCTCTAGGTATCTTATTCACGTGATAATATCAAGGAATCAGCCCTTTAGCCCAGTATATTCACTTGTAAGCCCAATTAAAAGCATTATTTACAAAGAGTTTACCAATCTGCTCTTAGGAATGAAAGTAAAGAATTTAAGATTGAATCACTGATTAAAATAGTAGCAGCAGGCAGTTTAAAGTGTGTCTTCTAATAGTTTAAGGCCCTGTATTCCTGTAACATGCTACTCAGGAGTAGGACAAAGATATTCCAACTAACTGCTACCTGAGATCCAGAAATCTGGTAAATTACAAATGTCATTTTACAAGTATCTGTTTAGTCATTGAAGTGGAGTATTATAGCTGGATAAGATCTTAGCAAGCTCATTTATTCTACAAACAAGAAAACTGAAACCCAAAGAGATTAAATGATTTGCCCTGAGTCACATTGCTAGTTGGTGACAGAGCTAGAATACTTTTAGTTCTTTTTTTGTGTTTTTCTTTCCTAGGAAAGTGGATAAACTTAATTGAGAATGTCTGAAAACCTTGACAAGTCCAATGTAAATGAAGCAGGAAAATCAAAATCCAATGATTCTGAGCAAGGCCTCGAAGATGCTGAAGATGCTGTGGAAGGTGCTGATGAAGCCTTACAGAAAGCAATAAAGTCAGACTCCTCCAGCCCCCAAAGAGTGCAAAGACCTCACTGTAAGCAAATTTGACTTTGATTAGATGCAATATTGTCATTGTTTTCAGGTGACAGTTTTATGAGGCCTCCTTGTGCATGTGGCCGTGAGCTAGGTTCGCATTTAGGAATGATAACAGTTCCTCAGCTGGCAGCCTAGCTACTTGTGGATTTTCAATTGCATGGGAAATTAACATTTTAGAATAATGTCCAGTATGTGCCTGTCTTTCTCCAGCCTCAGTGACACTCCAGTCTCTGAAGTGCTCTAAGAAATAGGAGGGTGGAGTACAAATTGCCGCTTTTATTGAAAGAGTGTTTGAAAAGTCTGAGGCTAATTCCTGCCAGGACTGTGCTTGTGCAGGTTAAAAAAAAATGTGAGTAAGTTCACCACACCCTAATTCTCTGCCTGAAGGCTTAGTTCCCACAAGCTTGAGGGAATTCAGTTTGCTGAATGTGTGTGGTGAAGTCATTTCAGATCCCTGGCAAGGAGCAAGCCTCTTAAATGAAAGGGTGGCAGTATCTTCAGGCATTCCCAGTGGTTGCCTCAATTCATGTCTTTTATGAAGAGTACCTCAAGCATTTTGAAGTGAGTCCAAAAATGCAAGTTTTTAAGAGGGAACGTCATAGTCTAGCAATGTCGGTATTGATGTTATCCCTTTAAATTGTAGATGATCAGTAGTTGTATATATTTGGAAAAAGTACAGACATTTTTGGGTTTTGGGGTGTGTTTCTTCTAAAATGATCAAAGCCCTTCCCAGGCAATTTATTAGTCAACATGGTATTCTTCTAGCAAACATTAATGGACCCTATTTTATTCTGATTTATTATCACATAGATTTTAATAAATCAACTATTAGGTCAAATTGTGTCCAAGGAAACATGTTGTTACTAGCACAGTCTATCGTGCATTTGGTAGGCCTGTCTCCAATATGTGTAGTCAGAAAACTTCTGTTTTCCTGTCTTTAAAATGAGGAAAGTACAATATTTCTTAGGGTAGCGGTAAAGATTAAATGAATTCCTGTAAGGCAGTTAGAACAGTGCTTTGCAGGTAATAAATGCTTAATAAACATTAGTTGTTGTTACTATTATTGCTACTAACATGTCATCTATTGCATTTAAAGATGCCAGGATTAGCCAGGCATAGTGGCTCATACCTGTAATACCAGCACTTTGGGAGGCTGAGGCAGGAGGATCACTTGAGTCCAGGAGTTCAAGACCAGCCTGGGCAACATAATGAGACCTCATCTCTACAAAAAATAAAAATTAGCTAGGCATGGTGGCACATGCCTATAGTCCCAGCTGCTTGTGGGGCTGAGACAGGAGGATCCCTTGAACCTGGGAGGTGGAGGCTGCAGTGAGCTGAAATTGTGCCACTGCACTTCAGTCTGGGTGACAAAGTGAGACCTTGTCTTAAAAAAAAAAAAATTAGCTGAGCATGGTGGTGCATGGCTGTAGTCGCAGCTGCTTGGGAAGCTGGGACAGGAGGATCACTTGAGCTGGGGAGGTCAAGGCTGCAGTGAGCCGTGATCATGTCACCGTACTCCAGCCTGGATGAGAGAGTAAGACAAACCTCTCTCAAAAAAATAAAAATAAAAAAAATAAAGAGACCAGGATTGATTGCTGTAATGTAGATGTATATGGCTAATGTGATAGCTTTACAATCTATAGTTTCTGCTAAAGAACTTTTGGTTTAGGTCTTCAGTCACTCTTTATTGGTCTGTTGGTTGTTGGGACGGCCAGACCTAACGTGGGGGTGACGAAGTCCAGTGGAGTCAAAGGAATGAGAAAAGACAAGTTTAAGAGTGCATAAAGTGGGTCTAGGGGGCTGATGCTAGTATGGAGGCTGCTAAGGCCCCAAGCTCTAGAAGCCCACGCTATTTATTGGTAATCAAACGAAGAAGCGGGTGGTGAGGATGTGGGGATTGAAAGAAAGCAGTGTATCAAGCGCATGATCTACAGCTGTGACAGTTTGGCATTTTCTTTGAAGCGTATGGAACATGTTCCGCTACTTGAGATAATGGGAAACATGTTCTTCTAGTTTAAGATACAATCGATATATGAGCCTAGGAGTGCTAGAAGCAAGGAGCCAGCAAGTCTAGACACATTTCAGAGGCCACGAGGGGTTTTGTGCCCTGAGCCCTGGATTCCATTCAAGCCACGAGGGTTTTTATGCCCTGGGCTTAGATTATGGTGCAGCAGGGCAGCCTTCCACCCTTTAGCACAGAGCTTGGTGTTCCCAAGGCCACGAGGGGTTTTAGACCCTGGACCCCGGACATGTTCCAAGACTCTTTACATTATGTCAGACATGCAAGCCCTGCCTCAGTTTCTCCCAACAGTTGGGTGATTGCTTTTAATTTTTTAAAATAATTTTAACTTTTATAGGTTCAGCCATTCTTTGGTTGATGGCTTCACCTTTGGCATCCTGTCAGTCTGATGGTGTGATTCCAAATTAATGTCAAACCAGTACTAAGCTACATTATCTGAAATTGTGTGTAGTTATGCCCTTAAGGCAAAACTACTCATCCTGGGACCTATGATCAAGATTTAGGGGATCTAGTAATAGCCAAAAAAGTACATCAACATTTGTTTTGATATGCGTGTTTTTAGAAATAAGGTCATGGAAGCTTTCATTAAGTTCTCTTAGTGGTCTGTACCAAAATAAGGTTTAAAATCAATGCCCTAAGATATTCCTTTTGTCTGACTTCCTATTTCTCCTGTAGTATTAGGTAGGTACAGGGCTATAAACCCAAAAGATAAAGCTAAGACCCCATTATTTGGGGATCAGGTAAGGAAGCATTATTGAACACATAGAGCATAAATAAGGACTTACAAACTATGGAATTAATAGTTTGCAGACATTTCCCCCAAACTCTGTAAATATGTAGCTACTGAGTTTAACTCTAAAATCACATTTGGAATTCTACAAATTAAAATGTAAGTAGCAAAAAGAGAACATTTATTGTTTTAAATTATAACACAGAATAATACTTTAAGAGTGGAATTGCTAGGCCAGGCGCGGTGGCTCATGTCTATAAGCACTTTGGGAGGCTGAGACGGGTGAATCACCTGAGGTCAGGAGTTCAAGACCAACCTGGCCAACATGGCGAAACCCTGTTTCTACTAAAAATACAAAAATTAGCCGGGAGTGGTGGTGCGTGCCTGTAATCCCAGCTACTTGGTAGGCTGAGGCAGGAGAATTGCTTGAACCTGGGAAGCAGAGGTTGCTGTGAACTGAGATTGTGCCATTGCATTCCAGCCTGGGTGACAAGAGGGAAACTATCTCAAGAAAAAGAAAAAAAAAAGAGTGGAATTGCTGATGTAACTGATGCAGAACATTGAAAAAGGAAAAATGGCTGGCTTGTAAAAAATTGATTGGTACTGATTTGAGGTGGTGATTTGATTGTAAAAGATTATCTGTTCTTTAAACAGAGATCCTTTAAACAGAGTAAGGATCAGTCAACTGTAACTTAACAATGTTTTCTCTAAGATCTTCTACTATTTATACTTTAATGCTCTTCTCACAAAATACCCTCTGTTCTAACATTTAACCACCTAGTTGACCAGTAAAAGATGCTATATTCAGATGACAAACATCAATTGTTATTCCAGTTAATATCTCCCACTTAGGACCTTCGTTTATGAAATCGGGTCCTTGTGAATTTAATTAGTAGATCCCAGTCATCTTTAGATGAATAGGTGACATGAGAACTTACATTTCTAAAGCTCATGACTAGCCTTTGAATTATGGTGTTTCCATATTCAATCAGTCAAATATTTGTTGAGTGCATACTGTATGTCAGGGATCCAGCAGTGAACCAGGCACAGATTCTCTGTCCTCATGGAGCTTGCAGGCTAGTGAGGAAGACAAATTAACAAGCAGTTTCCATCAACATAATAAGTACTATGGGTAACCTTTACCCTGGCTTTACTGTACTCATTCTATAGTAGCTGTTTGAGTGACAGTTGCCGTCTTGCCCTCCATAAATGTCCATCCACTTATGTGACTAACAGCATCTTTTCAGAGTGTAGAGACATCTCAGGATACCTTTGTAAAGAAAGAGAGTTACAACCATTCTAAATTAGAACTTCATTTTATTTTGGAATCTGTCTGCCAGCCTCTCAAAAGTCATGTTTAAACTAACATGGTTTTCAGTTTCTCTAACAGGGCATCAGTGGGCAAATGCTGTAACAAAATAACAGAATTTAGCAACAACTTTAGCTTTGTGTCATATAAAATAAACTCCCGGGTAAGTTACATGTAACTTTACTTTTTTTTTTTTTTTTTTTTTTTTTAAGACCAGATTGCTCTATGTTGCCCAGGCTGGCCTTGAACTCCTGGGCTCAAGTGATTCACCCACCTCAGCCTCCCTAGTAGCTGAGACTACAAGTGTGCACCACCATGTCTGAGTTGACCTTACCATTTTTTCATGGCTCTTATTACAACTCAGGTTCTCTTCACAAATTGAGGTGAAGACATGTTGTCCACCAAATTGCATCTTTATGCAATTTTATGCAATCTTTACCAAGTTTTTTCCTTTTTTTTTGTTTTTTTTTTTTTTTGAGACGGAGTCTCTGCCTGTGCTCCCGAGGCTGGACTGCAGTGGCGTGGGATCTCGGCTCGCACTGCAAAGCTCCGCCTCCCGCGTTCACGCCATTCTCCCGCCCTCAAGCCTCCCAAGTAGCCTGAGACTACAGGCGCCCGCCACCTCACGGCCCGGCTAGTTTTTTGTATTTTTGAGCTAGAGACCGGGGGTCTTCACCATGTTAAGCCAGGACAGTCTCGATCTCCGTGAGCCTCGGTGATGCCACCCGCCTCAGGCTCCAACCAGTATCTGGGTATTACAGGCTTGAGCCACCGCGCCCGGCCAATCTTTACCAAGTTTTCATTTATGAAATTGGTAAATTTGAGAACTCTCACAAAACAAAATCCCCACAACCCTATAATTTGTATGCAATGAATAATTCCTCTATATGTACATGGGTAATATGTCCTGATCATATCTTAGAACTGTAGCTTTTATCT